AAGAAAGGGTGAATCTCCAGAAATCTTCCCTAAAAAAGTGAATATATTTTGTTTTTCAGTCATCAAATGCCAAAAGACCTTCAGCTTGGTGTCAGCTCTCAAGTGTTCCTTCCAATAAATATTGTAATGTTTTCTTTTTAATATGTTTTATTATGTTGTGATGAGGAGAGTGCACATATGCACCAAAGTGGATATATTAACCTCAGAGGACTACTTCCATAATTCAATTCCTGATATTGCTAAGACTGCCCGTAGACTTTTTTAGCTGCTCAGCCGTTTAGACATCTCTCACGTTGTAATTTTCATCGTATTGATTTGTGTATCTTATGCTTAAATTTGTGTATCTATAGGTACTGAGAGTTCACATGTGCAATAAAAACAGATAATTCTCTGGAGATAGAATTTGATATTCTTTGACCCCATTTTCTGTATCCTTTTCCCAGTTTTCATGATGGTCCTTAAGTTTTGTGTGAGAGGTTGGTTTCATTACTAGTCTGTGGCTGAGTACTCTGTCAGTCATTCTCAGCACTCTGACCACTCATGAATGTCTGCATCAGTCTTTACACAAACACATATGCGCCTCTGTGATCAAGGCTCAGACAGTCTACTGGGTATAAACAAAAACACAGTTTGACAACATGATCCTTAGCATTACAACTAGGATCTATATTGCCTCTTCACACTTAACTGGAATGAAGATTTTCATATGAAAATTCACCAAAACATAGCAAATAATATTATGTTTGTTCCAACAATAATCCTCACAAACATGTATTCAAATGACTCTACACCTTTTATAGAGATGCTTGCACACCCATGTTTATTCACAGCATGATGTTCATGCTCTAGTCACAGCATATAGGGGATGGAATCATCCAAGATTTCCAACAAAGCATAAATTAAACATGACAAAGTGGAATATATAGAAAATTGAATAGTACTCCGTGGTAAAACATGAATTATATAATCTATAGGTGTATGCATAGAACTGGAAAATATATACTGGATAGATCACCCATGTCCATAAAGCAAGTGATTCATGTTCTCACTCATACATGTTCTAAGATTTGGATTTTTTTGGTATCTTGAATTTTAGAAGCAAAGATACTAGAATTTGGACAGTAGAGTATTAGGAATTTACAAACATGATATAGGAAAATAGAAATTAAAATAGAGGAAAGGTTTTAAGATTGAGAAGATTATAAGAGCCAGATGTTGGATGACTCGGAGGAATGAGTTGTCTTCCAGACACAATTGGACTGATGCACATATGAATTCACAGAGACTGTGGCTGCTGGCACAGAGCCTGAACCAAGTCAACCCAGATAAAATCTTCAAGCTGGAGCTGGAAATAGCGTTATCACTGCTAACCAAGACGTTAAGCAACTGACACTCTCATGCAAAGGAAAAATTAGTTTTCTCTGTGAAGTTCATAGAGGATGCTTAGCACAAGTAATCATGGAAGACACGCTTAGCAGTTGGTAGCCAACAAGAAAGTTAATTCAATGGTATTTTTGCAGACATTTTTTCTAATACTGTCTTCAATTCTGTATGTCTAAAGTTTTGTCTATGTATCATGGATACAGAGTTGTGGTAGAATACATTGTGTGAATTTTTTCAAAAAATATAAAAAGCAAGTAAAAGCACATAAACATAATTCTGTGAAGTGTTTAACAAAGAATCTTTATTGGGTTTGATCATGGAGATATCTCATGTCAGTCACAGCAAGGCAGATCAGTTAATACACCTAAGGAAGAAAACCAGAGGACACAGAGTTCCCTCCACACACAGCACATGTCTCTATGTGGATTATTTGCCTCCTTGTGACCCCTGCTGGTCATGAGTTCCCATGCATGTAGCTCACACTGAAGTTGCACAGTCTGGCTTAAGAAATACCTTATCACCGGGCGGTGGTGTGGCACGCCTTTAATCCCAGCACTTGGGAGACAGAGGCAGGCAGATTTCTGAGTTCGAGGCCAGCCTGGTCTACAGAGTGAGCTCCAGGACAGCCAGGGATACACAGAGAAACCCTGTCTCGAAAAACGAAATACTTTATCGCCGGACAGTGGTGGCACACACCTTTAATCCCAGCATTTGGGAGGCAGAAGCAGGCAGATTTCTGAGTTCGAGGCCAGGCCGGCCTGGTCTACAGAGTGAGTTCCAGGACACCCCGGGCTATAAAATGAAACTCTGTCTCAAGAAAACAAAACAAAACAAAAAAAGAAAGAAATACCTTATCCCTGTAACTCCCACTGTTCACAGAGATCACCTTAAGAGATAAATGGCTTTAGTTTATCTCAGGATGATAATTTATACATCAGAGATTTTAAGTTGTGTCACTCTAACTATAATATCCCTCTCAAAGTCAGATTTCACCTTGGTGACAGTTCTATCCAGCTCTACCAGTTCCCATTTCTAAAAAGGTGGTGACAGGAGATAACAGTATCTTTCCTGTCTTCATCAGGCTACACCTAGGGCAAAGCACCTGTGTTTAGAGGGTAAATCACATACCCTACATTGTTTAATAGACAGAGTGAAAAGACTTACACAATAATTGTACACAGGAGTGACACTGTTGATATCAATAACTAAAATGTTGAAGCAGCTCAGGATTTATCTGACCCTTAGAAGCACAAACTATTTTAAATTTAGTGCTGAAATAGACTTGCATTAACAAGAATGGATAATTAGAAAAAACTCTGCTTAGAAAAAATGAAAAGGACCTACCAGATAAAAGGTTTGAATCTTAGAGATCTGCAATGAGAATCACCCCATAATTCCAGGGGCCTTCAGGGACTGAGGCACCAACTAAAGAGCATACAAGGGCTGGACCAAGACCCACAGCACATATATAGCAGATCGGTAGCTCAATCTCCATGTAGGTTCCTCAATACCAGGAGTAGGTGCTGTCCCTATAGGTGCTACCTGTCTTGGAATCCATTCCCTAACTGGACCCCCTTGTCTGGCCTCAGTGGGAGATGATGCCCCCAACCCTGCAGAACCCTGATGGATCAGGGTTGGGGGATATCCTATGATACACCTACCCTTTCAGAGGAGAAAGGAAGGGACTAGAAGGAGGGACTTGTATGTGGGGACCAGAGGAGAAGGCTGCATTTAGAATGTAAAATCAATCAATCAATCAATGAACCTTTTGGATCTTCTAATTAACATGTCTAATTAAAAATATCCCCTCATCCTAACATAGGTTAACCCACCTTACCTTCATAAACAGTCATTTTCCTATGTGCTACATTTCTCTCCTTTCAATGAAGAGGAAGTTCTTCTTTTGTCCTGCTCAAGGAAAAATCCTCCATCTCCCTTGTTCCCTTCCCCTTCTCCGTAATCCTTTTTTTTCCTGTCTTTATCCTTCATTTACTTCCCAGTTCCTTGGGGGGGGGGGGGGCGGGGAGACCTCTTAGTGCTGAGAACTTTTGGCTCCTCTACCCTAACCTCAGCTCCCCACCAATCTACCC